AGGCCCGGGGGCTGGATGTGGCCCGTTCAGCTTTTTAATCCGGCCCGCCAAACTTTTCCAGATGATATAATTTATATTATCATTATACTTCTGCCTTTTCCCTGCAATACCCATGTATCGCCAATAGATGGCGTAGAAAATTATTTGTTAACACAAACGCTTCATCTATCTGCTCCTGTTCAATTTTTTGGATCAATTGTGGCCCACAAGTCAAAACATTTGCCCATGCCTGGGCTAAATAAATGCTAACACATTTGAATCTTAGCAATCTCAGGTTGATTTTTTTCAAAATAAATGAGAATTTCAGGAGACCACGTTTGAATCCAGGGCGTCCCCACGTGGGCTTACGACCCCTAGGTTGACGAGCACTGATTTCGTCTTACTTAAGCGACTTACAAACAACCCCCCCGCACCCCCAAAACAACAATGTACTTTCAATGTACTTTGTCTGTACTTTCAATAAAATATTTTTATTGAATTAAAAATCCAAAACATCATGTGACCCGTAGGGGGAATTCCTCATTCGCTAGCCCATGTACTACAACCGTCTTTGTTAATCTGAACCCTGTGACTCAGCACTTCCTTAGGGCTGGCGCTTTATATATATATAGACGCATGATGTCAGCTCCTTTCGTTTCTCCCAGGCTTTCCTCTCACCTCTGCTGGGAAGCCAACAGCTTAATGTGTTTATGAGAATGGGACACATCCCTGCGTCTACACACGCAAACATATGCCAAGTGAGTCACATGTAGGCAGTAAAATCAGTCTAAGTGGTGGAAGGCCTGTTTCCAATAAGGCTGAGGGGGACTGTTGCCATATCCATGATTGAAAAACTAAATAGATGCGTGGTGTCTCCCTATCTATCTCTACAGCAGTGCTTCTCAAATGGTGGGGCGGGTCTCCCTGGGGGGGCGCAATGGGTGCCGGGGGGGGCTTCCAATGGAATATGGCACGCATATGGACATAAGTGTCCCACTGCTGTAATGCTTGGATGATAACAGGCCTCCAGTCACTAGGTGGCAGCAACTCATGCAAACCAACTCATGGTTTGTACAGATAAAAATATACATGTTATCAGGTTCTTAACAGTATTACTCCATGCATTCAGATTCACTAGAGGGGCTAGCTAATGGGGAAGGGATCAAGTATCGATTCCTTGCTATCGATAAGTATCAATAGTAATTATTAAATGAAAAAAGCGCATTTCTCACTTCAACATCCCTTAGGGAAACTTACTACATACAGGCATCAAAGTAATCCATTCATGTCTCACGACCACTGACCAGAAGAGGGCAGTGACTCCATGTGATCGAGTACACTGGACATCTTTGTCCATGACTAATATGTTGTATAACAATATATATATATTAAAGTTGTTAAATGGCCAGTATTTGTCATGTGTTTTATTGGGCTAAAAAAGAAACCCACACAAAATTGTCAAAGTTGCCAAAAACAGTTGAAAAACATTTTTTTAAAAACCATGAAGAAAAGTACACAAATGGCACTCGGACAAGTACAAGTGAGTTGTTGTGATGCACATGGAGTATTTTGGAAAAAACTCAAAAGAAATGATAGCCAAAAAAAGGAAAAGTGTAATTATAAAGATAAAGCTGCTCTTTCTTCCAGCGCTCCATTGTTCTTCCACCATAGAGCCTCCAATTTGTCCCTTTGTGGTCCTTCTCAGAATCTCATACATAAACATCGGCACTATGTTCTCCACACGCCTGGTCATAACTCAATTGCGTCATCCGCATCAATGCATTCATTCACATCAAGGATCAAAGTAGAAATGTCGGTAGGAGGTGCGTGCCGCAGCGCTGCATGTCTGAGGGGAAGCTGGATGATAGTTTTTCATGTTTTAATGATTTGTTGTCGGGGAAAAAAAAAAGGGGGTGTGACATCACCGGTTGTTTTCACTGCACTAAATGTATTTTATTTATGTTTAAATGTACTCATCAAATCGGAGACGTTGGACGTATTGTGCAAAAGGTTGTTGGGTGGAGGTCGGGGTTTTGGTGTTTGTTCAACACACCGCAGGTGTGTCAGTCACGGGACTCGAACCAGCCGTCTTACGACACGACAGGGCTGGTCCCGCGCCCAATCACGTAACCCAGAGGCCACAGACTGTTGTCTGAGTGTTTCTTTCAGTAAGAGCTGAAGGTTCTTGAAGTGATATGTTAACATCACTGTTAACAAAGTCTAGTCCGTGGTGGAAGACACAGCTTCAAGAAGGTCCACCAACAGTTTCAGGTGGCTTTATTAAGTTTAGAAATTAAATCATGTTTTTCACAAAGTAGTTAAATAAATAAATAAAGCCTTTATCAAGTTAGCATAACGGTGACTATTCTAGGATAATACGAGTAAGTCAGTAAGTAAGAACAAAATTTAACATGGGTTCTATCATTATGAACTAAGATAAATTACATGTAAAAGTCATGCATAAAGGCTAAAATGCTGAAATGCTTTTATCATTTACGCCAACTATCGGAGAAACGTGGGTACTGCAGGGAAAAGGCAGTAATATAATGATAATATAAATAAATTATATAAATTGGAAAAGCAGCCGGGCCGGATTAAAAAACTGAACGGGCCGCATCCGGCCCCCGGGCCTTAGTTTGCCCATGCCTGATCTAGCATCTCCAA